ATCTCTTCTTTCTATTCCCACCTCGCCCCATTCTGGCAGATTTTACACCTGTACTGAAGAAGTTGAAGTTGCTTTTGTCTGCATAAATTTGGTGGAGAAGGAAGCTCAATACTTTCCCACCCTTATGCCTTCTTTCCTGGTATTCTGAGCTTGGCAAGACACTGGCATTTGGTGTTGGAAGCCAGAAAATCTTGCTGTAGGCCATCCCAGAATCTAAAGTAAAAGTAGCCAAAGAGATCGGGGGATTGGTAAATGAAAAATAAACAACCGTGATATAATTACGAAAAGTCTACTCAATCTTTCAAGTGTTTGATAACTATTATGCATTTCTGTGAAATCACATGGATGTAAATAGCCTTCACAATGAGAATAGTCCAATGACATAAAGAGCCAGTTTGGTGTAGTGGTTAAGAGCGGTGAATCTGGAGAGCCGGGTTTGATTCTCCACTCCTCCATGTGCAGCCAGCTGGGCGACCTTGGGTCCGTCACAGTTCTCTCAGAGCTGTTCTCTCAAGAGCAGTTCTCTCAGAACTCTCTCAGCCCCTCCTACCTCCCAGGGTGTCTGTTGTAGGGAGGGGAAGGGAAAGGAGATTGTAAACTGTTCTGAGACTCCTTCGTGTAGTGCAGGGCGGGGTCTAAATCCAATCCCTTCTTCAAATGTGATGTCCCCCCCCTCAGATTGTGGTTGTGTCAGCTAGCTGCCATGCTTTCATTGTTTACCTTCATCCCCGACCCTTGCGCACGCGCGCATGCTTGCTTTGCTTTGCTGCCGTGGGTAACTTAAGGGAGGCTCGCTTTCATCCATGAGAACTGGCTCAGCCAGACAGCGCTATCAGCGCAACCTTGACGAGAAGGGAGGGCTTGAGTTCCATTATCGCTGTGAATAATTCTGCTCTCAGGGGGTGGGGAGAGTCTCCCATTCATGATGTAATGTCCTCCCGGGAGAATCCCCGCGCGAGTGCTTGAAGTTCATTTGCTTAGCTAGTTGAAGCATCAGAGTATATGTAGCGAGTCCCGTACGCTAATCGATAGTCCTAACAATGTACCTGTAGCACTTGACAACAGACCAGTATGCCAATAAAGCATAACTTTTCCTGAAGAGTGTGTTTGGACCTGCTTGCTGTTGATCATGACAGGTTGAGATTCTCACATCGCTTAATGCTGCATCCCATACTTGTCAGAATTTTTATTTTCAGCCCCTCTCCTAATAATCCATAGCATAGCGTTTGCCTTTTTTGCTGCTGCAGCACCCTGGGGTGACACTTCCATTGAGCTATCTACTGTGACCCCAAGGTCTTTATCCCTCTCACTTTAAGCAAGTTCAGACCCCCGTTCACCTATACTTGAAGCTGGGATTTTTTTTGTCCCAACGTGTATCACCTGAACTGAACTGCCAAGGCTGAGCTTCATTCGCTGCATTGCATGTCGCTCTCTCAGTTTGTGGCGTGGGAATTCTGACGAACTGGTCGACTGTGGCAATAGAGCCATTATAGTGTTCTTGTGGTCTAACTACCAAACAGTGACCAATTGAACTCCATTTGGCACCTTGCCGCCCACTCACTCAGTTTGTGGAGGCCCTCTTGGAACTCTTCACAGTCAGCCTTTGGTTTTCACCCTCCTGAATAGAATCACAGAGTTGGAAGGGACCTCCAGGGTAATCTAGTCTAACCCCCTTGCACAATGCAGGAAATTCACAAATACCTCCCCCCCCACACACACCACACACCCAGTGACCCGTGCTCCATGCCCAGAAAGATGACAAAAAACCTCCAGGATCTCCAGCCAAACTGGCCTGGAGAAAATAAATGCTTCCTAACCCCAATGCGGCAATCAGTATTTCCCTGGGCGTGTAAGAAAGGGCCACGAGAAGTAAGCACTGATGCAAGAAGAAGAAGAAGAAGAGGAGGAGGGGGGGAGGAGAGGGGAGGAGGAGGAGGAGGAGGAGATTGGATTTATACCCCGCCCTTCACTCAGAGTCTCAGAGCGGCTTACAAACTCCTGTCCCTTCCCCTCCCCACAACAGACACCCTGTGAAGCAGGTGGGGCTGAGAGAGCTCTTTCAAGAACTGCTCTTTCAAGAGCAGCTCTGACAGAACTATGGCTTGCCCAAGGTTATCCAGCAGCTGCAAGTGGAGGAGTGGGGAATCAAAGCCGGTTCTCCCATATTAGAGTCCACACACTTAACCACTATACCAAACTGGCTTCCTGCCACTACACCAAACCCTTCCCGCCCTCCCTCTGATGAGCTGCCTATAATATTATGTTATCTGCAAACTTGGGCACTACCCAACTCATCTCTGGTTGCAGGTCATTTGTGCATAAGTTAATTAATTTGTGCCCCAGTACCAATCCTTGTGGGACCCCACTGCTTACCTCCCTCCATTTGTCCCTCACCTGCTCTTTCCTTTTCCTCTAGATAAGCTGCTGCCCAGCCACCGGGGGGCGCTCTGGCTCCACCTGATGCATTATTGCCGGACCTGCACGGCCCCCAAGATGCCGGAGCACATCCTCTACGCCCTCCACACCGAGTTTGGTCGCCTTCCTTGGAAAGAGATGCACCCCGACCATCAGCTGATGGAAGAGTTCTTTAAAGTAAGAGGCAGGTGTTTGTTTGCAAGGCTGTCGAATGGAGAGAGTGAGGTGAAGAACTGGGCCATGGCTCCGTGGGCGAGCTTCTGCTTTGGGTGTGCAGAGGGTCCCCGGCTCAATCCCCATCATCTCCAGTTAAAAGGACCAGGCAGGAGGTGGTGTGAAAGACCTCAGCCTGAGACCCTGGAGAACTGTAAAGAGGAGCTGTGGCTCAGTGGCAGAGCCTCTGCCTGGCATGCAGAAGGTGTCCGGTTCAATCCCCATCATCTCCAGTTAAAAGGACCAGGCAGGAGGTGGTGTGAAAGACCTCAGCCTGAGACCTTGGAGAACTGTAAAGAGGGGTTGTGGCTCAGCGGCAGAGCATCTGCCAGGCATGCAGAAGGTTAAGAGCAGCGGACTCTAATCCCAGGTAAAAGGACCAGGCAGTAGGTGATGTAAAAGACCTCTGCCTGAGACCCTGGAGAGAATCTGAGTAGACAGTACTGACCTTAATAGACCAGTGGTCTGATCCAGTATAAGGCAGCACCATCCGTCCTGTTCATCTGGTTCTCTTTCAGGCACCATTCAAAGTGCTTGTTAGTTTCTAAATCTTAAAACGGCTCAGAGAGAGAGAGAGAGATCCCCCCACAGGGTTTGATTCCCCTGTGGGGAGGGTCTGTGGCTCAGTGGAAGAACTTCTCATTGGCATGCAGAAGGTCCCAGGTTAAAAGGACCAGGTAGGGGGTGATGGGAAAGGCCTCTGCCTGAGACCCTGGAGAGCCGCTGCCGGTCAGAGTAGACAATTCTGAAGTTGGTGGACCATGAGTCTGATTCAGTATGAGAGCCAGTTTGGTGTAGTGGTTAAGAGCAGCGGACTCTAATCTGGAGAACCGGGTTTGATCCCCCACTCCTCCACATGCAGCTGCTGGGTGACCTTGGGTCAGTCAAAGTTCTGTCAGAGCTGTTCTCTCGGGAGCAGTTTTCTCAGAGCACTCCTAGCACCACCTACATCCCGGGGTGTCTGTTGTGGGGAGGGGAAGGGAAAGGAGTTTGTAAGCCACTCTGAGACTCACAAGTGAGGGGGGGTATAAATCCAACCTCCTCTTCTTCTATAAGGCAGCTTTATGTGTTCTGTTGGGATCGCAGAACTCCACCAAGGGAGGGTTTTTTTTTTAGCAATATCACCCGTGCATTATGAATGCAAAGAAAAACATTTTTCGTTGATATTTCTCTCCCCCTTTCCCCCCCAGCTATTTTTAATATTTTTAATTTGAGAGCCAGTTTGGTGTAGTGGTTAAGTGTGCGGACTCTAATCTGGGAGAACTGGGTTTGATTCCCCACTCCTCCACTTGCACCTGGCTGGATGACCTTGGGCAAGCCATAGTTCTTCTGATAAGAGCTGTCCTTGAAAAAGAGCAGTTTCTGTCAGAGCTCTCTCACCCCCCCCCACCTCACAGGGTGTCTGTTGTGGGGAGGGGAAGGGAAAGGAGTCTGTAAGCCGCTCTGAGACACCTTTGGGTAGTGAAGGGCGGGGTATAAATCCAATCTACTCCTCCTCCTCCTCTTCTTTGGATTTGAGGTGGCTTACAAAATTTAAAATCTAGAAAAGCAGACCTCCACCCCAATTAAAGCGGTTCTCTCCTACCGCATGACTCATTAAAAGTCAAGCTTCGTGTCCTCGGAGAATGTTGTCAGATACTCCTCGCTTGAGGCTGCACTGTATTTATTTACTTACTTCATTCATACCCCACCATTCTATACACTGGGGACTCAAAGGGCCTTATGCAGTTCTCCTTCCCTCCATTTTGTCTTCACAACAGCCCTGTGAGGAAAGTCAGGCTTGAGAGTTTGTGAGTGTGGCGTTCAGGGTAATGTTAGCAGAATGCAGGGGGAAGATTTCATCAGGAAAACGTTTACATTAGAGATTAGTCTGTGAAAATCACTTTTAATCCTTCCTTCCTTCCTTCCTTCCTTCCTTCCTTCCTTCCTTCCTTCCTTCCTTCCTTCCTTCCTTCCTCCCTCCCTCCCTCCC